TGAAGGAAATGCAAGCCGAAACCACAAGGAGGTATCATCTCACACCAATTACTATTAAGATGGCTATTGCCAAAAATGCAATAGATAACAAGTCCGGGTGAGGACACGGAGAAAAGGGAACCTTACTCACTGTGGGTGGGAATGCAAATTGGTACAGTCATATAAAGCACAATATAAGTTGCTTCAAACAATTAAAAATAAAATTGCCGTTTGCCTCAGCAATTTATCTTCTGGGTATATACACAAAGAAAATAAAATCAGTCCCTTGTAGAGATATCTTCACTCCCATGTTAATTGAAGCATTATTCACAATAGCCAAGATATGAAAACAACCTGAGTGTCCACTAATGAATAACTGGATGTATAGTCCATATATAGCGCATATATATGACATATATAGTACATACATAATACACATATTGTATATATAGTGAATGTATATCATATATATTACATATATAGTGCATATATATTGCATATATATTATATATTGCATACATACTACATATACATCATATATTGCACATATAGTACATACATATTACATATATTGCATTCATACTACATATATATGCACAGTGGAATATTATTTAGCCTTAAAAAAGAGGATCTTGCTATTTGTGATAGCCTGGATGAAGCCGGGGAACACTGCTAAGTAATTCAGACACAAACATACAAATGCAATTTGGTTTCTCTTCCACATGGAATTTGAAAATAAGTAAGCATCATGTTGTACAAGCTTAAATGTACATAATTACAAATTGAAAAATAAAGAATTGTTAAAAGAAATGTATAAACAAAAAGATATGAGATGAAGAACATGAGTGAACATTCACTCAGAAACCAGCAGGATAGAAGAATGGCTGAATGAACTTTTTGAAGTTCCACCTATTAGTAGAAGGATCGTTTAGCAGACTTCTGGATCTTATGCTTTGGTTTTAACAATCATCCTGTGAAATTAGTTTTGTATTTATTTCTATCCTATTGATGGAAAACTTCTTAGCGTGGGAATTATTTAAAAAGTCTCCCAAGGCGACACTCAAGTTAATAGTTCGGCTTGAACTATAGTTCTATTAAGTTCAGTCAGTCCAACAACCATTGAATGCAACTATTTATTGGTAGTCGCCACAGCAGATTCAGAAATACCTGGTCTGGTCTAGTAGAATACATGAGACAGATGTAGACATGTAAAGAAAAGGAAACCCTTCAATATTAAGCAAAGTCGAGCAAGTGCCTTTGAAGAAAGCATAAAGTGCGCTGAGAATTCTAAGACAACACGTCTTTTTGTGGAGAGTGTCACGTGAGATAAATCTGTAGGAAAAATTAGAAAATGGATGGATGGAGACAGAGTCAGAGAAGGAAGAGCAGGAGAAATGGCAGAGGTGGTAATGCATGGGACACACTCAGGGAACTTCCAGAAGCTCATCTGGTGAGAGCATTAAAGGAGAGAGAGGCAGGGTAGACAGGGTGGGAAAGTGCTTGAGGCCACATGGCAATGGCCTTAAAGACCATGGAGAAGAGACTCTATAATGTAATGGGGAAGCAGCTAAAGACTTTACTTCTTTGTTTAGTTATTTTTATCCTTTTTGTTTTTTTTTTTTGGCAGAGTCTCCCTTTGTTGGCTGCCCAGGCAATGGTGGGATCTTGGCTCACTGCTACCTCTGCCTCCTGGGTTCAATCAATTGTCCGGCCTCAGCCTCCTAAGTAGCTGGGATTACAGGCACTTGCCACCACACCCAGCTAATTTTTGTATTTGTACTAGAGATGGGGTTTCACCATGTTGGCCAGGCTGGTCTCAAACTCCTGACCTCAGGTAATCTGTCCGCCTCGGCCTCCCAAAATGCTAAGATTATAGGCATCAGCTACTGCACCCAGTGCTGAGCTGAATGAAGACTTTAGATCCCATGATCAAGTTTGTTGGTCAACTTATTCCTCTTTAAAAACATAGTGTTTCTGCAATAGGAGATAGCTTTCACACAAAAAAATGACAAAACTTCTTGATAATCACACATATTTTCCACATCTCTCCATTAGAATATCTGATTCTAGCCATCAAGAAACTTGTCTGGAGCAAAATTTGTAGCTTTAAGTTTTATTCAAATACATTCTCCCTGACAAGAGTCAGTTTCTGAAGAACACACTGAAATGTGCAAATTCTCCTGATTATGATAATTTCAAATCTCTATGCAGACATCTAAGAACAACAACAAAAAATTATCTCTAATATGAATGTTGTACACTGCAATTACATCTCAGTCCCAACTTACCCAACCTCCTGCTTCAAAACTTGTATGTATTCTCTAAAGGAAAAAGAAGCTTACATTTCATATTTTTAAAGTTTTGCATGCAGCCTCAAGTCACTGATTGATAAAATAACTTTCATCCAACAATATGACAGACGCCCATTTTATAATAAATATTCACTTGAATTAACTCGTCTATTGTACCATTTTCCTCTAGGTTTATATGCAAAGAGAAACTAGTGATTATGTCTCAACAGCAACACTCTCACAACAGACTCTACAAATAAGTAATATTTCAAAGTTAATTGTTTAACTCCAACAAACGCAGAAAACCAAAAAACATTCGACCAAAGAACAACTAAAGTAAGTGTAAAAAATATGATAAGCATAAACTACTTCCCTCTAAAACAGAAAGGGAATAATAGAGGAAATTAGCAGTTTCTCTGCCCTCTAGTGGCAATAAAATTAACTGTAGCATTTACTAAAGCAATGCATAATAAAATGTCCCTGTTATGAAATCAGATATTTTTCCCGTGCCAAAATGTCTGTAATAAAAATCCTGATTGTTGCATGCCAAATTTCAAGAATGTTGGACTTTTCCCCCCATATTGAACTTTTACATAGGCTATTTTACAAATAAAATTGTATTTGTTCTGTTTCATCTTGCTATTTTTATATATTCAGTAAGCTAACCATTTAATTCCAATATTATTTCATAAAACTACATATAAATTGATGTCCAGGGAAGAAGCTACTTTGGTTTATAAAAAAAAGTATTCAAAAATTTGCCAAGGAATTTAAAATTATTCTTTTTAAAATCAATTCTATCAATGTATGGATTTCTAGAGTAGAATTCCCATCAGAAATATTCAACTAGTTTAAAATACCAGTACACTGATGTTAAACATTTTAAGTATTTTATATTTCCCAAAGCAAGGGCTTTTAATTATACAGCCAATCTTACTTTGTGATGAATTTCATCCTCAATTTCAGAACTTCTTGGAATAGAAAATGTAGCTTGTGTGTGTGTGCGTGCGTGTATGTGTACATATATTCTTTTTTCAGTAACAGTGCTGAAAAAGGTTCGGAAAAAGATAAACATTTTGTTGACGTTTATTTATTTATTTAAAATTTATTTTTACTGCAAATGCATTATTTATTCCTAGTGTCAAAGAAATTTTTAAATAAACAACTTGGGATGCATGTTGGCACACACATCTTTCTAACCTCCTCCGTGGTGGAGTCATCTATTCATACCATGAATAAGTACATGAAAATTACTGTTGCAATTTTTAAATAAATGTCGTTCCCTGGAAGGCTGAAAGTATTATTTTTTACCACCAATGAAACATATAGAGAAATATGCAAAAGGTATAGTCTCCTGTCATAAATCACATACAGTCAAGAACAACCTAGGTCCATTAATGCAGAATAATTAAATGTGACGAAGACAAATCAACACCCAAGAAATGTGCATTTTATTCTCAGCTTTAAAAGTGTTGTCATCATATTGCCTCCCTGCACATGCACTCCAACACACACACCCCTCCAACCGTAAATAAGAGCGCAGAGTCAGTATCTGTGCTTTAGCTAGAACAATTTACACCAGGTGTTGTGACTGTCTTCTAAGTCGCGGCTTGTTAAATTTCACTCAAGGGTTTCCTTTAAGATCTACAAGATTCACCTTGCCTGGAATCCCCAGGTGTCCCCAGCTTTCCATCTGTGCCTCTCAAGTTTGACTGTTGACCAGGTAATCATTAAACACGCACACGCACGCACACACACACACACACACACACCAGATCAGAACAAACTGATTATCTTACACAGAAAGTTTTCGTTTTCTTTTCAAGTTTTTTATTTTTATTTCTCGTTTCACCTCCTCTCTAAGTGCACCCGAGTTCACCAATTTCTGCCAAGATCTCTTTCTGCCTGTGTCCTCACTTTCTTCACTGAAAGGCAGAAATGGAAAGTAGGCACCCGGTTCGCAGTGGGCAGGGTCCCAGGAGGCAGCCGGCCCTGAGGACGCGGCTCCTCTCAGGACGCGCACCTGGCTGGACCGCCACTAAGAGGGCGGAGGTCGAGGGTCCTCTCAGGGACAAAGTTAGGGCGTCCAGGCCTGTCTGTGAAGCCGGCAGGCGGGGGACAATGGGGGCAGAGGTAGGTCTCCAGAAACGCGCCCTCCCCCACCTTTTCCACCTGCTCCCCACCTCTGAGCCTGCCCCACCTACCCCGCCCCACTTCCAGCGCCCGCTCAGACCAGTTCACGAGACGCAGCCAGTGGGGATCGCCAAGGGGAGCAAGGTGGTGTCACAGGGAATTTTCTCATGCAGAGGGGAGACCCGCAATCCCGGGCTTTCACCACGTCCCCCACCCACCCCCACCACACACTCGCTTAGTTTAACCAGCAGCGAGGAAGGAGGGGAGACGGAGAGCAGGCAGCCTGGAGATGCCAGGTCCTAGGAGACTATCAACAGAAGCTTTGCTCTCACAATGGGCTACTTGGGGGAGGCAGTACCACCCCCTGCCGCCCAGGTGAAGTAAGCCCAAAAGCCTCAGGAAAACCCCTAGTCCCCGGCGTCCTTCTCTTGTTAACCCTCTTTTCCCCATTTGAGAAGCCTAAGTTTACCCGAAAAGCAACTGCAGTAACTTTCCCCAAGGGCAGACAGGTGATGCGGGGGGAGGGGGTAGGAGGAACGAGGGTGTCAGAGAGGTCTTCAACTGAGCACAAAATCAACAAGCCAAAGTGCTTCTTACCATGGATGTGGTCTCCGGGCTTCCCTTCGGCGAACTGAAACTGGTCCAGGAAGAAGTGGCAAAGTAGCACAACTCCTGCGGCGGCCAGGTCGGCCCTCGGGAACCTCGCCATGCCGCCGCCGCCACCTCCCTACCCCGCCCGCCAGTCCTTCGCCGGTGCTCTGGGGCTCCCGAAGCGTTTGGGGCGACCGGGTCAAGCGCTGCGGATCGGTCTCGGCGGGACCCAGAGGCCTTTGTAAATTTCGCTGGGATTTTACAGCAGGAAGCCGAGGAGGGGAAGACGCGAGCGCCAGCAGGAGCGCAGCCCTCTCCGGACCTCCCGGGTTTTCTTTGCAACTTGCCACCCTCGCAGCCCTCACCCGATACTGAACAACAAGCCACCCGGGTGCCCGCAGACGGTGACTTCCGAGCCCCCTCGATGCGCTCCACTGGGTTCAAAACAGATCGTATTCCACAGCCTGCGCCGCTGCCAGCTCCAGATCCACTAGGGATGGTCGGCTCCGCAGGAACTTTCCTCAGTCTCGGGATGGCCCCGGCAGGAGGTTTAGGTTTGCAGGAAAGAGGCTGATGCCGAAACCCTTCCGACAAGTTTTGCTTCTCTTCTTCGCCCTACGCAGGGCGCGCGTCCTTTCTCGCAGCCGGAGGAATGGGAAGCTCCGAAGAGCTGAGCCCTGGAGAGGTTCGGGCTGCAGCAGTCTGAGTTCCGAAGCCAGGAAAAAAATGTGTGTGTGTGCGTGCGCGTGTGCGTGTGTGTGTGTGTGTGTGTGTGTGTGTTTTAAGGAAGAAGAAAGAAAAAGGGTGGGGTGGGGGGAGTCTGGCTGGAACCTATCGGGAGACGGCTCCTCCAGGCTCAGGAGGAGGTGGCCCCAAGCCCCCGCGGAGCCCCAGGAGTTTGGTGGCGGAGGAGGCGCCGCGGTCGTCGAGCTCCTCCGCGCTCCTGCTCCACACTTTGAGGAGGGAAGGCGGCTCGCAATTTGCCAGATCTGCCGCCGCACCCTCCTCCCTCCTCCCTTCTCCCTCCTCCCTCCCCTTCGCTCCTCCAGGCTTCTCCCACCTTCCTCCCTGAAACCGGCAGCCCGCACAGACCTGTCCAATGGCTGCACTTTCCTCGGGGCTGGCACAGGAGTCGCCGCCGGCTGAGCGAGCCGGGGGAGCCTAGCGAAGGGGCGGGAGAGGGCCACTCCAGCCCCGCGCGCCCCCGGCAGCCGGCAGCCCCGGAGCGCGGGGAGAGGGGACGAGCCCCGGGAGCTAGCGAGGGAGCGCGGGGTGGTACCTCCGCGCGGCCGGGACACCATCCCCGCACCCGGCTCGCACGCCCTGGGCAGCTTCACCAACTGCGCCCCCACCCACCTGGCTCCCAGGCTGCCTTCGCGCGCGACTGCGGGGGACGATTGCGCCCCCCCTCGACACTGGCTGGGGTCTCCCTGGGCACTAAAGGGTTAACCACAGCTCTCTCTCCTCCCCCCCCCCCCCCCCCCCCCCGCTTCCCGGAGGCTGGGTCTGGCCTTGGCTGGGGTGTGGAGAAACCACTCCGGAGCCTGTTCTGGGTTACTGACCCTGCGAAGCCCCCTCGGACCCCGGCCCGGCGCTGGAGGGTGGCGGCGGGTGGCGCGCCGCAGCGTGCTCCCCGCCGCCGCCGCGGCTTTGTAAAGGGTCCGCGGGGGCGAAAGCGAGAGTTTAAAGGAACAGGAGGCCCACTGACTGAATCTCCCACCCCGGCTTTCGGGGGCTCTCGCTGCCCGGTTTGTTGTTGTTTTTTCAGCTCGGGGATGTGTTTCCGCGTTAACCCTTGCAGGCCCTCTGGTTAGTTGACATCTTAGTTTGCATACAGTTAATCTGTTTTGAAAGGGATAGATACACGGAAAAGAAGCCAAGTGCTGTTGGTTAAAAGTACAGGATCTAGAGCCCGGACAGTCTGAACTGGAATTTCACCTCCACCACAAGGAGCAATTTACTTTTATCTCTCAGCCTCAGTTATCCATCCATCAAATGGAGAGAATTAGAGTAACCTTATAAGGTGCTTGCAATGGATTGGATGAGAATACCGCAAAGTACGTGGCTTTAAGTGTTTCATGAAACAAAAGTGAGAAAAGAACACTTCAATCGCATAACAAATTTGGTGTGTTCTAAGTTCAAGGTCCTTTCCACTCCAAACTCTGAAGAGTCTATGGATGCTGTCAATAGATGTCTCAGCTTGCCACAAAACCCACTGGAAGTGGATTCCAATAATCAATCTACTTTGCAAATGTGATGCCCAAAGCATGGCTCTCTCATGGGAAACAAGAAATATGTTTCCCCTAATCCAATACCCAATTTGCTCTTTACTTCCAAACAACAGATACACAAACCGAAACATATGGCCTGCCTCCACTCTGTTATGCCAAGACCATCGCTCTCTCCTGAGCGTTCTTCCAATAGGTTGATTTCTACTTAGGAAACTCGGTTCTTCTACTTCTGCTTAACCAGGAGTGTTTAAGTTCTATGTACTATTACATCGGAATATGAGTACCTAGATACATATCTGCTTCAAATCAAGTTTGAAAACAGTCTTCTTATCAAAACTTGATTGTGCAGTTGACCCTTGAACAACAGGGCTTTGAACTGGGAGGGTCCACTTTTGCACGGATTGTCTTCCTCCTCTGCCACCCCTAAGACAGTAATGCCAACCCCTCCTCTTCCTCCTCCTCTTCAGCTCCCTGGATGTGAAGACGATGAGGATGGAAGCCTTTCTGATTATCCACTTGGACAGTATGTTTTATCTTACTTACGATTTTCCTAACATTTTCTTTTCTCTAGCTTACTTTATTACAACAATACAGTATATAATATATAGAACATACAAAATATGTGTTAATCAACTGATTATATTATCAATAAGGCTTCTAATCAACAGTAGGGCATTAGGAGTTAAGTGTATGGGGAGTTGAAATTACACATGAATTTTCTACAGTGTGGGAGTCTGTTCCCCTGACCCTCATACTGTCCAAGGGTCAATTATACTTTAATTGATGTGGATTTTTTTGTGGCCCCCCCCGTGAGGTCATAAATCCACGTGGAAAGCTCCCCGAAATATTCTGCACAACTCCAGCTCTCATCATATGTTAAAATGTGGGGAATCTAGCAGAAACCATTTCAAGAAAGCACCTTTTTTTTTTTTTTTTTTTTTTTTTTAGTCTGGGTTATTTCTCTTACTTTCACAGCAGAAAAATAGGTGTTTCCTCTGAGAACAAACAAATCCCTACCTCTCCTTGCTATCCCTTTTCTCTCTTTTTCCCCTTATTATTTTATGTGCATATTCATAGTGTTCATTTTTCTTGTGACTTGCAGTCATCAATGTTTTGCCCTCCTGATTGAAACTATATACTTTCTGTAAGTAGAAATTTAATGCCAATATTTGAAAGGGGGTTAAATGGGCATTCAGGGTCAGTCGGGAAAGACTTTCATATGTTGGCTATGTCACAGATGTTGCTGAATTGTATTGGTGTACCCCTATCTTAATTTTATTCTGAAGAGCTACACACATAGAAATTTCGGAAGTATGGGAGAAGATACAAGTAAACAAAACTCAATCATGCTTGATGAGATTTGCTATTCAGAAATAAGGATGAAAGAGTAGCATCGTATAACAATAAACTCAAGCTTTGATCATTTGCCTGAAATGTTGAACAATTATTTGTTAAACTATATTCTGCCTTTACATTATAGCAAGCAACGAATAAATAAAATGTTTGTAGGACAGTATGTTCGGGGTGAAATGGAAAAAGTAGGTTACTCATAAAATTCTGGCTAAAGTAGCATATTTTGTGGCCTAAATTACTTGGGTTTGCCATATACATTTCGTCACAGTAGAAGTGTCTCTTTCCATTTTGTGTGGAAGATGTTACATCTTCCATCTGACATGAGAGAGAGATGTAGTAATGGCTGGAGGTCTGTTCGTTACTATATACATGGGAAAGAAACTGGTGGTTCTTTCATCCACTCCCTTAATTTTAGCTAATCTCTCCAGGAACAAATGAATCAGGAACCACAAATGAATAGCACTTAGATTCTTTGTCCATGACAAAGATCTGGAATTCATACGACACTCTCTCCTTTAAAATAATATATGAGAATTATTCTCAACGATGTAGAACTTTGGTCAACTATTAGCATGTGTGCTATTGCTGTGGGGATTTCAAAGCTGTTTACAATCCTCATCTCTATCAATCTTCAGAGAGATTTTCACACATTCCAAGTTCAATACTATCTATAGAAGTGTACTTACAATTCATCACCTCATCCCATCTGTGTCTTTTCCAATGTTGTGTTTCCTAGGACCTGTCCAAAATTGGAACTTGGCTTACAGGATGCTGAAGAGAACAGCATCCTCACTTGGAAAAAAAATGAGATCCTATACGTGCTGTAGAATACTCAGCATTTATTATAATCTTTTCTTAACTATTCAGAAAACACTTCTTGTCTATTTTAACAGGATTTTTAAAAACTTTCTATAATTGCTGTCAGATGAACGGAAATTGCTATTAGTGAATTGCTTTTATTCTGTCCAAATATTATGACCTTTCTTCTAGGTCTCAGCATTTCCTCTCCCTCCTCATTTGGTAGGGCTAATTTTTTGACCTCTGGTACACAATTACAAGACTCATTTGTTCATCTTGGCTGATCTGCTCTCAGAATAAACTGGAATTCTATTGTACTGTTGATAGATATTTCAGCTTTTTGTACTTTATACTTTTAAGGAGCAAATTTTATCAATCGTGTTTGAATTGAATAAACATTTTTTAAAACTCAACAGCTAACATTCTCTTTTTAACTGGAGCATTTAACATACAAGAATATTTAATGCCTTTTAGCCTCATATCAATACCACATGTACTATTTAGATGAAATTAACAATATAGGCATATTCATAATGAAATAATATCCTGCATTAAAATGGCATACATGTTTATACACTCCTTCTGAATCTTAATGAGCTAAACTGGTTTCAACTAGTAAATAGCAAAGCACAAAAAAAGTGTGGGTCAAAATACTAGAAAACATATTAATAAAATGGAACACCGTATTATCAAAAACGGATAGAAGCATTATGTTACACTTATTTTTTTATTTTTATTTTATATTTTATATTTTTTTTGAGATGGAGTTTCGCTTTTGTTACCCAGGCTAGAGTGCAATGGCGCAATCTCGGCTCACCGCAACCTCCGCCTCCTGGGTTCAGGCAATTCTGCCTCAGCCTCCCAAGTAGCTGGGACTACAGGCACACACCACCATGCCCAGCTAATTTTTTTTTGTATTTTTAGTAGAGACGGGGTTTCACCATGTTGACCAGGATGGTTTCAATCTCTTGACCTCGTGATCCACCCACCTCGGCCTCCCAAAGTGCTGGGATTACAGGTGTGAGACACCGTGCCCGGCCTTACATTTATTTTTAAATGTCAACAATGTATCATAGAAACTTAGACCCTATTCCTAAATTGTACCCAAAGATACGTTAAATTCCTGCATTTTGCAAATAAAGGAAAATGGGCAAGTGCTCAGCAAGCACTTAGTGAATTGAAAAACGAAATAAACGTGCTAAAGAGTATGCGGTAAATACAGAGTGACGGAACATGTGGAAAAGTTCTCAAGTGATTATTGCTTTGAACATAGTTGTCAGCCTTTTATCCTATCCAGATTTTGCTAAACTGATGGAAATATCTAAACTGCAGAAAATTTCACTCTCAAGTATCAGCCCCAGGAGAAACTGTGCTTCTGCAGAGCCCCTAGTGGAGGCTATTACTCCTAGCACGGATGACAGGGCTTTTTGTGTTAGGGGCAGGAGTGCTGGGATTCAGAAAGGCACCACCACTGCTACTATCCACCCTGATGGCTTGTACTGAATTTCCTTTCCTCACCTTGCATTCATCCTGTTTTGTTTTGCCCTAAATTTCTGGTCTTTATATTTCCATCTCTACAAAATTTTTTTTAAGATATAATTTAT